ACACTATATATATATATATATATAGATATATATATATATCTATATATATATATATAGTTTGAGTTGTTGATGTTGCAAAAATGAATATTTTAAGATTCTAACAGATCAGAAAAGACAAAATATGTACCATGATAAAGAATCTTAGATTATTATCAAAACTTAGAAAGACTGTATGACTCCTCTTTATGCTTAGTATTAAAATTAGAAAAGGAATTGTGAAATATTGTTGGATGAAGAAGTTATTTTCTGACACATGGATGTTCATTCATTTATAACTCAGCCCCAATAAAATCACCTAATATATTTTAAGCCACACAATCTCCATCCTTGTCTCCAAAGAACCCCATCTAATGAAGGGGAACCTCTGATACTGGCAATATCATGTAGTTTTTATTATAGGTATGTCTTATCTCTTCAATAGGCTGAAAACATTCCTTTGGATTGGGAGCTATATCTTATATTACTTTTGTATTCCTCAAAGAATCTAATAAAATAGTCTTCACGTAATAGGTATTGAAACTCACTCATTGAATGAAATCTCCCAGCCTGTGAGCACATAAGTTTTACATTCATAACATTTAATGAAATTGTAAAGTTGTCACGGGCTGTTGTAAGTCATGATGAACCTGAAAGTTTGGAGAATTGTGTTCCCCTCCCATGGCCACCCCATTTATTTCTGATTTTCTCATTTCTCAAATAAGAATAAAAATATTTGCCTTCATTGTGCTTTTCTCCTAGGTAAAAATTACTCAATTCTCAATTAAGGATTTAAAGATGACAGTTCTGGCATCAAGTAACTAAAGTTGAAGTTATAAGCATCAGTTTCTGACATCTTCAAATTGTATTTGAGCAATTTCCCAATACTTGTGGGGAAATCTGCCCTTAAAAAAATAAAAAAAGAAGAAAGAAAGAAAGAAAGAAATCTAGAACTAGGATAGAAAATAGTAACAGATCACATCATTCACATCTCTAAGAATCAGTGTTAGAGAAGGCATACAACTTTGTTTGGATGTGTAAGTGTCATTTGAAGGAGATTAAATCCATCATGAAAGTTTTACCTTATGAATCTCTATATAACCACACAGGTTGGAACAAACCCATTGCTTTTCACACTCCCTTTCTGTACCTGTGTATCTATCTCTCTGTGCCCAAGTTTCTTTTCCTATCTTTTTCTTTTACTTCTTCTACCTCATTTCTGTGTGTCACCTACTACAACTAGCTAAGTAACCAACTCATAGCGACCTCCTTGGATTGCCAAGGTGGTATCACAGAGGGAGCTCTGGTAGCGTAGTGGCTAAGGCACTTGACTGCTAACCAGAAGGCTGGCGATTCAAACCCACCAGCCACTCCCCGGAAGGAAGATGGGGCAATCTACTTCCGTAGTGATACTGCCCTGGAAACCCAAGGAGGGGTCGCTATGGGTCGGGTCTGACTCAACGGCACATAACACAACAACATCACTACGGAAGTAGATTGCCCAACCTTCCTTCCAAGGAGTGGCTCGTGGGTTTGAACCACGAGCCTTCTGGTTAGCAGTCAAATACCTTAGGCACTATGGCACCAAAGCTCCCAACATATATCCCATCATAGGTTGTAAGACTTTTGGGTATTGTTAACTCAACTGGGCACTCACACACTAGAATCACATTTGTTAAAACATGTATGAAATATAACAAAATCAATTTGTCATTTTTACTTCACTTCTAGAAATACCACTACCCATTACCACTGAGTCGATTCTGACTCTTTGAGACCCCCATAGGGTTTCCAAAACTATAAATTTAGTGTGGAATGGCTGGTGAGTTAAACCACTGACCTAAAAGCCAAATACTTTAACCACAGTGCCACCAGAGTTCCTTGTTTCTAGAAATAGGTAGCTGTAATTCCAAAACCAAAGCATTTATAATGTGTTCAACTCTATCTCTCCAGTCTTCTGTCTTTTTCTCTCCCACTTTATACTGAGTTCCTTTCCTAGGCAAGGTAGATTGCTCAATACTGGGAAGGTCCAGATATGTGGCATGATGCCTACCAACAAGGAGATCAGGCCAGTGAGGACTTTTCACCTTGAAAGAATTGATTCGGAAATTGTGTTTATAGGTAGATTGATAAGGAAAGCAGGCAACATCTTCCCCCTTTGGAGTGATAAAAAAATCCCACCCATATGTTCCGAAATCCCTGACCTCAACTCATGTTGTTGTTGTTGTTATGTGCCGTCGAGTCGGCCTGACTCATAGCGACCCCTCCTTGGGTTTCCAAGGCAGTATCACTATGGAAGTAGATTGCCCCATCTTCCTTCCAAGGAACGGCTACTGGGTTTGAACCACCAGCCTTCTGGTTAGTAGTCAAGTGCCTTTAGGCACTACGCTACCACCTCAACTCATAGCTTTACTAGTTACTAGCTGTGCTACCCTGGCAACTTGTTTAATGTAACTTTGTCTCAGCTTTCTCATCTGAGATAATGCATTTTAATAACTCTACAATGTAGGTTTTTCTACAGAGTAGAAACAATTTTTTTAAAAAAGAAATTAATGATAGTCTGTGGAAGTTAGGTGACTTCCAAAGGTGAGAATATACAAAGGAGGAAAGTTGAACTAGCTTCTACAGAGTGACTAGGAAAAACTACAGCTATTCTACTCTCACTATTCTTTCTCAGATCACTAAAAAGACCCGCATTCTAAGAAACATTTAAGGGCAGGTGAAAGAAATGTCCACAAAAAGACTGAGAACACACACATCCAAAGGGAACCTGGGTTCTCATTTAGTGAAAAATATGCCTTGCCACGGGAGCTCTGGTAGCGTGGTGCCTAAGGCGCTTGACTGCTAACCAGAAGGCTGGCAATTTAAACCCACCAGCCACTCCTCAGAAGGAAGATGGGGCAATCTACTTCCGTAGTGATATTGCCTCGGAAACCCAAGGAGGGGTCGCTATGAGTCAGGCTGACTCGACGGCACATAACAACAACAACAAGAAGAAGGCTTGCCACATTGGGAAGGAACTCACATTTGTCTTCGTACTTACAGAAAAAGATGAGTTTAGCAAACCTTGACCCTCTGCCTAGTGGTCTGGTATTTTCAGTATTTTATCATCCTGGAAGCCATTTGAATGAAATAATCAAAATAAGCATGGAACAGAAGATTTCTTAAGGGTTGTTAATGTTTGTTCTCTAATAAATTGAGTAAAAATATCTCAACACTCTAATCACATCTTTGTTTTTTAAGAAATGGGCCAAGATTTTAAAGGTAAAGGTATCACTGACCATCACTTTTCCATTGTGAGTGAACGAATGGATTTCTAGTTGTGAGAGCTGTACTATATATAACTGTAAATAAAGTATGTGGACCAAGTTTCTTATACACACACTTTTTGACAGACAGAACATTGTTGCTCAGATGAATGTGCATTTCTTAATATAGGCCAGCCTTCCCTTTTTTCTTTAAAAAGCAAAATTAAGCTTCCTGACAAGTTGAAAACATATTCTATTGGTTCTGGTGAGGTGAGTATTTGAAGAGATTTATTGAAATTAAGAGTGGAGAATTGGGCAGTATATGACTTATTTTATCCTTTACAAAAAAATATATATATTTTTTCTGTCAGAATTTATTTTCACTTAGACAACTTCTACTCTGTTTTCTTCGTAAACTTATCTATTGACTTACCACATGCATATCAATGACTGGTTATAACATAATAAAATAGTCATTATATGAACAAATCAAAATCTACCAACATACTGAAATGGAACCAAAGCAAATAGATCATAACATTGAAGGGGGAAAAATAAAAGAAGAAGAAGAAAAGAAAAACTGGAATGAGCCAGCTTCAGATTTAAAAGTTCTGGCACATTGGCAATTGAGCATTTCAGACTTTATGTCCCTCTTATTTTCCCATATTTGTCAGCTGAAATAAAAATTCTGTTTGTTATTGCACTAAGAGCAATTTCCTAGAGAAAACAAATTCTCAACCTAAATTTAAATCACGTTTGGAATTTTCACATTATCTTTTCATTTTGCAAATTCAGAAAGTAACTCACATAAGGCAAGTGTATCATCTGAAAGTACTTTCCATACTTATCTCTGTATCACAGAAAGATTGAATCACTCTGTTAATTTATAGCAGTGCTTCTTGGATGCAAGAAAGAAAAAAAGTGACTCTTACATGTGCCTAACCCAATGGTTCAAGTTAATTAGACTATAATGTGCCCATTCTGAATTATACAATATTTTTCATAATAATGATATGCTATGGAGACATCTATTAAAAGCCTAAAGTGATTATTTAAATGCACAATCCCTGATAGAACTCCATTATATTTTTCATACTAAATTAACATTACAGGCTTCTAAAGGATGCTTTAATTAGGCATGGATGTTATCAGCAATATTTGGCAAAATAAAATCTGTCACTGTGAAATATTCATTAAGTTCAATTTCTGTCAGTCAATATTAAGTGTTTTCTGAACCTTATGATTTCAGGGAGAAGCTAAAAGCTAAGTGAGAAACTGAAAACCCCCAGACAAACCTCTTTCTTATATGCAATACAAAAATACGTGGTCATTAGGGGTCTTTTGTATTGCATAACTGCCAAACCACCGGTTTCTCTTTCATCTTTTATGCTCAGAAGCACTCCATTAGAAGGTTGTCCGAATGCTCCATACAATGAAAAACAAAAGGTCCACATCAATTTAAATACATATCCTTCATGAGGCAACTTGAATGAGAGGTGTCTGTGTTTGGATCGGAATGCACCATTAAAAGAATTCCATGGTCAGTGGGAGGCAGAGGCAGAAAATCAGAGAGGGTCAGGGAGTCAGCAGCGATGCTGCAAGAAAAAAGGAATACACAAAAGGCCTGCACAGATCAAGACATATCTAGTCACCGGCCAAGGCAGAGCAATGCTGGGAAATTTAGCTGAGATGCTCACCGGTAATTTTCCCATTGGCTTCCAGGGGAGGCTGCCAGCTCACAATGACAGCTCGGGGCTTCCCTTCTCGAGTAATGACTGTCAAATCCTTGGGAGCAGAGGTCGGGGCTGCGAGGTGAGACAGAGACAAGGCCTTGTCATTGAAAGAAAACAGACATTTGTGAGACTTTTAATCGTGGTGTTGACAATTCAGACTCTATCATGAAGGGTATCGTGTTTATTTTGCCATTTGCAATATATTTCAAGGATTTGAATTAAATAAGCAAAGCAATGAAAAAAAAAATTAATGATAGTCCATGGAAGTTAAGTGACTTCCAAAGGAGAGGATATAGAAAGGAGGAAAGTTGAACCAGCGTTTTCAAGTGGCATCTTCACTAAAAACATGAGAACCATTTCCAACAAAGCAAAGAATGAATACTTAGTGAGACTGATGGCCACATGTCTCCAAGAGAAGAAAGTATGTTGTTACAACTGTAAGGTTTATAAATAAAAATGGGACCTACTACGGGATTCTTCTGTTTGTCTACTGTGTGTATTGCCTTAAAAGCCAAAGAAAATACGAGTTAAACTCAGGTGAAAACATGTTGCTTAGGTCAATATGAACCAAAATCCATTGCCATCACGTCGATCCCTACTCATAGCAACCATACAGAGTTTCCCAGGTTGTAAGTCTTTATGGAGGAAGCAGACTGTCACATCTTTCTCTCAAGGAGCATCTTATGGGTTCAAACTTTCCACCTTTGAGTTAGGAACCAGCTGCTTTAACCACAGTGCCACTAGGTAAATTTTTTGCATCTTCTCAAGAAAAGTAACATTTAAAAACAGCAGAGGTAAATAATCTCTGAGGGTATTGACATGAAACCTTGTCCTTACTAAAGCTACTTTTTCCACATGCTGTGGTCAGTGAAACATCCTTTAAAGGTAGCAGCAAACTCAATGAACCAGTTCAGTACTTTCACCTGCTTTCTCACTTTCTGTGCTTTGACACCACTGCCCATCTGTCCATGTGTCCTATTGTAGTGGCTGGCACGTTGCTACGATACTAGAAGCTGTTCCAGTGGTATTTCAAATACCAGGAGGGTCACACCTGGGGACAGGTTACAGCAGAGTTTCCAGAGTAAGACTGAAGAGGAAGAAAGTCTTAATGATTTACTTATAAAAATTAGCCAATGAAACTCCTATAGATTACAACAGATATTGTCCTATATTGTGCTGGAAGATGAGCCCGGAGGTTAGAAGGAAGTGAACAATGGCCACAAAGTTGGACTTACATGTCAATGATCATGAAGATGATGGAGGATTGAGCAATGTTTCCTTCTGCTGAACTTAGGGTCACCATGAGTCACAGCTAACTACCCAACTAAGAGTAACATGATTTGGCATGCATGATAGTTTTCCTTCTAGGTAGCTTACAGTGCTCCAAGTCTATTATCTATAATCTGTTTTAGTTACTTGGGCAGTTCCAGAACATAAGTAGATTCTACAGTTGGATTCTGGAAGAACTCTCTGATCTCCATGTAGGAATGCTTGTGTAGTTACCTTGTGATGGGAATGACTGCTTCATTCTTACTCTCACCGCTTTCTCTGATTCTTCTGTTTGTCTACTGTGCAGAATCTGAGCTTTATCAACACTCTAGTTCCAACTTCTCTTTTGAATGGAGTTACACATATTGGGCCAAATACAGGAGATAACCAGTCATTCCCATTTATTGGGCCATTTTATTTCAAAATCTTGGTTCTCAAAGCCACTTAGAATTTCAGGTTAATAAAAGTGGCACATAATTGTAAGGTCCTCACAAGGCACTTAAGAAATTACAAGTATCAAACCCAAACAAAACCAAGACAGAAGAGGAAAAAGAGAAGGGGTAAAAGAACACAGAGGAGAAGGAAAAGAAGGAGAGGACAAAGTAGCAGCTAATAAACAATCTGGTGGCATAGTGCCTAAGGCATTTGACTGCCAACCAGAAGGCTAGCAGTTCAAAGCCACCAGCCTCTCCACAGAAGGAAGACTGGACAATCTATTTCTGTAAAGATTTACCACCTGGGAAACCCAAAGGGAGTCACTATGAGGCAGAATTGACTTGATGGCAGTGAGTTTGGATTTTTTTTTTTTTTTTTGAGGTCAAGTGTGGGTGATACCTGAGTAAAAAGAGTGCATATTTATGTGTTAATGAAGTTGAAAACCCTAGGTAGGGACCTTCTTAAAAAAATAAATAGATAAATAAAAATAAAAACACCCACAGATTTGATAGAGCAAGATAACAGAACTTAAAGAAGGGTTAGTCTCACAAATAGTTAATTCAAGATATTTTCTAGGCCAGATGGGATGGTAAGATAGAGTCACTAATTTGCTTACATTATGATAACAAGCATGATCAAGATTTTTGAGATTATGAAAGTAATTAAAAGATCTGTCTTTTTAACTAGTCACAATAGTCTGCTTTCTCTTAACTGTGCTAAAATTCAAATAGAATGGTCCCACCTGATAGCATGTTCAAAGCACTCAGTGTTGGATTCCTCAACAAGACAGTCAAGCCCAGACTTACTTTTGGTACTTACTAACATGTAGTGAACAATTTCATTTGTTTTTTTTTTTCCTTTAAGCCATAGCAAAGATTCTGTTTCTACGTATGGCTGGCATCTGTCTCTGTCTCAACCTCGTAGCACTTTACTACAGAACCAAAGAATCTTGTCAAATTTATAATCCCTGACAGGGAGGGAGTACCCAGTAAGCAAGTCAGTATGAGCTTACTTGTGCTTACTAATCTGTAGTTACATGAAACTGTTCACTAAAGATTAGTAAGTAAACACAAGTAAACCTGTGCTTACTTAGCCTACTGGGTAATCCACCCCTGAAAGTACATGAGATTTTGTCTTGTCATCCTCATTTCTAAGCAGCATCCTCATAATGCTTCTTCCAATTCACATTTGCTCATTTTTCTGGCAGTCCCAGTTATAGTCAATAGTTTTTGCCAACACAAATCAAATGCATCTGTTCTTCAATATTCCTTATTCATTGTCCAGCTTTCACACATATATGAGGTGATTGAAAATATACCATGGTTTGGGTCAGGAGCACCTTAGTTCTCAAAGTAGTATGTTTGCTTTTTAAGATTTTGAAGCGGTCTTTTGCAGTGGCTTTGCCCAATGTGTCATTTGATTTTTTGACTACTGCTTGCATGGCCTTTGACTGTGGATGCTAGTAAAATGATATCCTTGAAAACTTCAATATTCTCTTAATTACATTGAAGACATGGTCATTAAAAAAGAAAAAATAAATCCAACAATTAATTTATTTCAGTTATTATTATTATTATTTTTAATCATGTGAATCTTAGAAAGTGCTCTGGTGGTGTAGTGGATAAGGCATATGGCTGCTAACCAAAAGGTCAGTGGTTCGAACCTACCAGTTGGTCCACAGAAGAAAGATGGGGCAGTCTCCTTCTATAAGGATTTACAGTCTTAGAAACCCAGTGGGGGTGGCTATGAGTAGGGATCTACTTGATGGCAGTGAGTTTTTTTTTTTTTTTTTTGGTGAATCTTAATGAATAGAGAGGCTCTTATTGGAATTAATGTGTTCCATATTTTTATTATAAGAACTGCACACTATTCCATAATACTGGAAAGAGAATGTGATCTTAATAACATCAGAGATCCCTACTAAAGGGAGCAGATGGTCTGGCCAGATCCTTTCCAATCTCTAGAAATGCTGCCTGGAGTGATCTGTTAGCAATACTCATGTGATCAGGATACTTTTAGGTTAAACTTCTTCAATGACTACCCATCCATGTTGGATGGAAGGTAAACCCCCCTGCTTGAGTTTCTGAGGTGGTATCACTACAGAAGTTGATTGCCCAACTTTCCTTCTGAGGAGTGGCTGGTGGATTTGAACCGCCAGCCTTCTGGTTAGCAGTCAAATGCCTTAGGCAGCACGCCACCAGAGCTTCCTGGAGGGAAGGTAAATATATGAATAATAAACACCAGGTCTTCCAGGATTTAGACACTACTTTCTTTTATAGTTACCTTTCCCCTTGTCCCATGAAGGCTATACTCCAGACACTTAAAACTCTTCATAAATGTCCCTTGAACACCTCAGCTGACACCTGCTTGTGTGTTTTTGCCCACGTTGTTCTTGCCCTTTGGAAGGCCCTGGAATGAGTAACTTATGAGCCACTCAGGCCACAGCTCAAATGTCACTTCCCCTGTGAAACTTTCCCTTATTTCTTCAGAGAGAATTAGTTCCTTTGATCAGTTAGCTCTGATTTCAACTTCTCCAAAATGCTATGATTGAACTTTCCATGTTCCTTCAGGTATTATTTTTTAATGTGTTTCTTTTCTTCTTCACTGCATTATACTTCTCTCAAAGATACAGCCTGTATCGCATTTCTTTTGATACCAAGTGTTGATCCCAGTGCCTCACAATTACAAATGAACATCATTGAAAATCCATCATTAGGATTTCAGTCCAGTGGAGAAAGCACTGTCCAGTGGTTTCTCTGGCTGGAAAATTATTTGCCCTCCACTTCAAACTATTACTTCATTAAGTGCATGCATGGGAGGTAACATTCATGATCTGAGAGATTTCCAGTTGTGGAAGTTGTAATTGACATCTGTTTCTCAGACTGCCCAACATCCTACCCTCTTCCTTCTTTTAGAGAGGTACTCACCTTTTTCCTTTGGAGAACAATCTCCACTCTGTTTCATGGGGGTTTGATAGGAACATCAATTGGGAATGTTCATGGTGTTTGTTTCATCTTCTCTTAAGTTGTATGATCTTCTCTTAAGAAATGCCAAACTGATTTCCTCTCCTGGGAAATTGAATCTTAATATCATGAAGGAAAGACGTGGAGTCACGCTATTGCAATAGTTCAGAATGACCTTAGGGGGTCATTCCAGTAGTTCTTGTTTTCTAGATTCTAGGAGTAATGCTGCTTCCTATCTCTTCCCAAGGCCTGAATATTTTAATTTTTCAATTCTTTAGCTTTCCAATGTCCTTCTAGTTATTTTTATGTTACTAACGTTTACCAGACTAAAATGAAAGATGTATCACATGGACAGAATGGAACGTTCTATTTCAAGAATTTGCCAGCCATTGTTATTTTTATCATGAGCAATTTCAGCACAAGGGCATAGTAATGCATCCCCAGACAGTCTTCACATTGTTGCAGAATTAGAAGCAAACCCTACAGTTATTTCATTCACTTTATTTCTTTCTCACAGTTATAAAATCTGCAGGCACTTGTGAATTACTTCTTGCTTCTCATCATCACCCAGGGATCTCATCCACATGCTATTTACACCTTGGTCTGGATCATTATCTGATTTGACAATCACCCTTGCTACTAACCACATTTCAACTTAATATCTTTTTGCTAGCAATGAGTCTCACCACTGGTGTCCCAATAAGGCTAGGAAATTGATGAGAAATCAATAAGGTGCATTTATCAAGTCAGGTGTTGGTGTGCACTTCATGTTTATAAAAGAGAAAAAGTAATAAATTTGCTTGCATTAAGAGAAAATTATTGCTCTTCTTTCATCCGGGGAACACCAAATTTCTTACATTAACTTCTTTCATCTCCTTTTAAATAAAAAAGAAAGGAAGGGTCTCCATAACCGGTTACTCACTGAGTTGTTATTCTTCCTAAGAGGCTCTAAACACTAGCTTCCAGGGCAGAATTCTGGGAGACAGAGAGTTAATGTATGCAAAGCATATAAAATAGAAAAGGAGGATGTTGGAATTAAATCGGGCCAACTAGGAAACTCATTTAGAAAGATGTACCCACAAAATTGTGAAAATATTCACAATACACTCTCTAGTGGTTAATGTAATGATGTGGAATAAAGATTAGGACTGCAATGTCATGGTACACATTCTAAGAAAAAAGACAAACTCAATTTACTCAGAGAGAACAGCTTTATTGGCATAATTCTTTTTATTTTCCCTTTAATTTGAAAATATGTTGTTTCGTTTACCCCAAATCTGATAAAACCAATTAAAAAAAAAAAAAAAAAAACGTTAAACCCTGCATTCTCTAGATGTGGCATTTCTATGAACTATAAATGCCAAGTGTTCTACATCTATGCTAAAGGTTAAAAACTTTACATTTATGATCTATGGTAAATGTGATTGGCCATATTTACAGGGAATTATTTTATCACTCTAGATTTAAACTCTTTCAAATTGCATAAAGGTATTCCATTGTACTGCCTTACTTCCATTGGGTGAGCATGACTGGGACCGTGTTCCCATATCCAGCTGAGGTTATTTAGTGCAAATAGTCATTAGGATATAATTATAATCCAACATTTTATTTTGCATCCATTTTCTTTCAAAAAAGCAAATCTCTACCATGAATATTGCTCAGAGACAATTAATTTTGGACAAAGTCTTTGTTTTCTAGTGCTACTATAACAGAAAATACCAAAAATGGGTGAATTTAAGGAATAGAAATTTATCTTCTCACAGTTCTGGAGACTAAAAATTCAAATCAGGGTGCTGGCCTAGTTAATTCTCCTTGTGGGTCTCTCTCCTGGGTGCTGGTGAGCACCAGCAATCTTTGGCATCCCTGGGCTTATAAGTATTTATATCTCCCTTGTCTGTCTTCCCCATGTGCACTTTGTGATTATTCTGTGCTTTATTTAACTCTGATGTGATTGGGTTTATGACCAATCCTACCCTGGTATGTCCTCATTGGCATAAAAAAGAAAACCTTATTTTCAAACAGAATCACACTATAGGTATGGAGACCAGAAATTAATACATATTTTGGGATGATACCATTCATTTCACGATACACAGAGTTCAATAGATTGATTTATGCCTTTGTTTAAAAGCATAAAAAGGATGATTTATAATCAGATGACCTGAATTAACACCTTAAAGAAGCTACAGATTATTTAATTCATCAGAGTCTCATTTTCTTCTTTTTTAGAGTGGGTAGAATGATATTATATGTAAATTGCTATGAACTATAAGGGATGAAATATTTTTGATAGGAAAGTTTTACACTGGTGCAGTGGTTAAGTGCTTGGCTGCTAACTTAAATGTTGGCATTGTGAACCCACCAACAGCTGTGGCTGTTTCTGTAAAAACTCAGAAAAAAAATAAATAAAACACAACTTGAGTCAATGTACTCATTGGGTTTTCAAGGCTGTAAATCTTTATGGAAGCAGACTACCTCATCTTTCATCTGCAGAGCAGCTGGTGGGTTCAAACCACTGACCTTTTGGTTAGCAGCTATATGCCTTAACCACTACACCACCAGATCTCCTTTAAAGATTATGCCTTGGAAGCGACATGAGGCAGTTCTACTCTGTCCTACAGGATCACTATCAGTTGGAATTGACTTGACAGCAATGGGTTTGGGTTTTGGTTTTGCTCAAGTGTAACCGAGACATCATCGTGTACCTATGTTCCAACTTCCACAGAACCTAGGAAACACCCTTACCAAAGCAGAATTTTCAAACTAGCACTTCTTCACATACCTGCTTCATATGTGGTGGCATGTGCAGTCATGCTCCATGTGCTTGATCTTCTGTTTTTTGTTACCATGACCGAGAACTCATACATTGTGTTTGGTTTGAGGCCTGTTGCCGTATAACTCAGAGATGTTGTGTCTTCTGACTATACCAGTGGGAAAAAAGCAAAGAGAAAAACATGAACTCTCTCAACTTAGTAACTCAACACATGTAAAAAGACTATTAAGACTACCAGACTATTTACTAATTTACTCCAGTGAAAAAAGGGCTATTTTGAAAGAGCTGACATGTTAGGCTACAGTACAGACTACCTCTCCTTTACGTCAACCAGCTTATGCTTTCAGCGTTACATCTAAAACATGATCAGTAGAATCAGGTGATATGTTGTTCCAATGGGGCAGCTAGCTGACAACTTTTCCCAAATGAGACAATAACTGTAGTGACAAGGCAATGTCCATCTCTTTTTGTGAGCTCATTTTTCAGGTTGTCTGCACTGACTTTAATTTACCATAACCCAAATGTTTTTTCAGTTCTTTTAATATTAAACATTTCATATAGATTACCATTATTATTTTCATTGTATCTTTGATAGCAAAGTTAATTTATTAGAGTTATATTTTTTTCTATGTTTAAAAAATACATTTCATGTTAAACATATTTAAGCATGGTCATGGGAGCAACTGATCAGGAAATGAATGACAAATTTGATGAAAACTACATAATTACATTGCTGTGCAAAATACTGTTAAAACCAAACAAAACCAGACACACTGCCATCGAGTCAATTCTGACTCATAGTGACCCCCTTTGGGTTTCTGAAGTGGTAAATCTTTATGGAAGTAGGTTGCCCAGTCTTCCTTCTGTAGACTGGCTGGTGGGTTTGAACTGTCAGGTTTCTGATTAGCAGTCAAATGCCGTAGGCACTACACCACCAGGGCTCCTTAAAATATTGTTCCAGTATTACTTAAGTCTTCTGAATATATTCTTTGTCTTTTAATCAATAGGTTAAAGGAATTTTAGTAGCCAGTAATTTATCATTATTTATTTAAAAGATCAAAATGGCTCAAAAGGAAAAACACAGGCTCTCCCAAGTTAATGGAGATATTCCATATGATCAGGCTACTTTAAGGCAATTTATACCTCTTTAAAATGTTGATTTAGGCTTGGTATTTAGATCTTGATCTTCTTCAGAGGCAAATATTTGCTTTTACTTTTTTTTTTTTTTTTTTTTACTTATTACATGTGTTATTTCTCTATCTGTGTCTAGAAGACCAAGGAAAGATCTTTCTTGTCCCCCATCTATGTCATATACACTTTCTCCCTCTCTACTTTCATATGGTAGATCCTTTTTATTTCACTATGAGTCCCTTTTAGGCTATAGCTATGAAAATCCTACATTTTATTACAGCATCAAATAAATATTTAACTGCACCAATAATGTTATGATGATGAGCCCATTTATACTATTAAAGAGATTACCTCATAAACCAGAAGTTCTTCTTAAAACATAGCTGTAAAAATGTGTGTCCTAGATAAATGTAAGAATGCTTTGTATAATCAGGAATATTGAATTACATCAAATAAAACACAAAGTGGGGCAGGCAGCTGGTCCTTGACATGCTAATATATCACTTCCCATTTTTCCCACCTCCACTGTCTTGAATATCATTCTCTAAGCTTTAGAAATGAAAACAGTAGGGGAAATGAGGCAATGAGAAATATTTCAAGGAAGAGAGTACAGCCATCCTCAATAAGGCCACTCTCTTTGCACACAGACAACTTAGTGGGAAGTCACTAAGCAATACCATCCTTGTTTATATTCTGGAACGATACACATACATTCTATAAATGTTGTAAATTTATTGAGTTGTCTCTGGAACTTCATGGTAAATTCCTACTTATCATAAACCAAGACTAGAGATATTTTAGAAAATCATGTGAACATAGAACACTCAGGCAGGACCTCTCTGACTCTCAATTTCCTTATTTGTAAAATGGGGATACCATAGTTATTGACATTATAGCATTATTGAAAGAGTAAAATAAGTTCAGGAAGATATAGTGGCTGGCCCAGAGTAAGCATTAAATGTTAACTGTTATACTTCATACCTTGTCTCTTGCTATGTTTAGTTTTAGGCATGTGTTAAATTCCCTACTGAGTTCCAAGAAACTTGGTGGCTGAGGACAAAGTTGTGTCCTCAGTAACACTCATACTATATTTGGTTAATACAAGGTAATAGTAATAGTCAAAAAATATATTTTGAATTGAAAAACTTATAACATCACATGATTAAACACTTTGAAGCAAAGATATCGTAGAGAATCATCCTTTTTGATCTAGAAATTCAATGCAGAATAATACAAAATCAAAATATGAGTTTCTGGATTATGCCTTGAGATGGAACTAGTTGAAGTAGAAAGGTACCCCTGTGGAGAAAACACTGAAGAAAAATGAGATTGAGCAAAACTGAAAATTACATATAGCATTTCAAGGACTAGCTTCCAACCCCCTTTGTGTTTTATTTGATAGAATTATATCTTCCTGATTATATAAAGTAATGATTATACAAACCAGGTCATCTGAGTTCCACCTAGTTGAATGAGGATTTTTGTCAAGTCATGCAACCTACCTATGTTTTGGTAAATATATTCACACAATTATGTACAGTCCTACTTATTATTTTTATGATAGGTGTGAATATTCCCATTATATAGATAAGAAAAATGAAGTTGAGTAAGTTAAACGACATGATATACTGTAGCAAAATTCATTATTGAGCTTGGGTCATTGGACCTCATGTATGTACTTTTTTCTCAGTGTCTTTTATATGCCTTTACTACTACTTCATGAGGCTGTGATGGTATATATATGACAGTGGTTTGAAAAGCAAAAGATGTACACAAATTTATTACTATTTTTTGTAAAGTTTAAATAATTTGCATTTTTTCTAGTGCATCAGATACGTTCTAGATTTATCTTTGCTATGTGTCCCACCCAACTCTCTCCAACTAATTCTTCCTTTTCCCAGAGCACGAATGTACAGTCTGTGCATGTGTGGGAAGAGAGATGGAATGTTAGTGACTGAAAACCTTAGATCAGGGAATACTATGGGGAGATGAACAGTTTAAAATCTTTTGTTTTCTCTATTCCCATACTTCCAACCATGAGACAAATCAGTAGCTCCTTCCAGGGTTGGTTTTTGTGTTGTGTCTCACTTCATAGACATTCTCTGTGAGACTCAATAATCCTGTTTCTGCTGCACTAACCATGCAACTAAAATAATTTGTCTCAAGAAATTTTGGAACTCAGACCATTCTGCAGAGAACAATCGTTGTCCTTCAGAACATATTACAATCTGGCAAAAGAGCTGTGGCCATTCCGTGAAATGAATGTACTTCCAAAGTACAGAAATTACGAGCATAAAATCTTTAAATTAGAGGAAGTCATCTTTTTAAAGTAAACTTAGAATTAGGTAATCTGTATATGGAAAGAGATTGTTTATTTTTAATGCTCTCATATGCTTCATTGGTTGTCTTATCTGATAAAGTTATCTTTAGAGTTTTGGTGAGTCTTAAATCTAATACTATAAGGAGATGGATAGGACACTTACAGCATAT